GCTTTTGCTGTGGATTTTTCACCTTCCCCAGGCTCCAGAGGCTTGTTAGGAGCCTGGGGAGGGGGAAAACAGCCTCCCCCCCCCATGACTGCCCTCTGGAGGCCTCAGGAGCTTCCCTGCAGCCTCCGTAGGGCAAAAAACGGATCTACAGGGAACCCGAAAGTTCGGGAATGGTGACTTCTGGTTTGTCCATAGGGCCGATTTTTGACCTCCAGAGCCTTCAGGGGCCTCCAGGAGGCTTCCCTGGGAGACTTCAGGCTTCCCTGAAGGCTCCGGAGGACAAAAAATGGACATATGGACAAAAAAATGGACATATGGACAAACTTCCAATTTGTCCGTAAGATTGTTGTTGTTTTTTGCCCTCCAGAGCCTTTAGGGAAGCCTGAAGCCTCCCAGGGAAGCCTCCTGAAGACCCCTGAAGGCTCCGGTGGGCAAAAAATGGTCCTACGAGTAACTGGAAGTCCGTTGCTGAACTTCTGGTTTGCCCATAGGGCCAGTTTTTCATGCTTTGGAGGCTTCAGGGAAGCCTCTGGAAGGCGCCTTGCATACCCTGACAAATGGCTCCGTGTGCCACAGGTTCGCCATCACAGTTCTAGGGTCTCACAGTCATATGACCCAGAGGCTATTATTAAAGTTTAAGAACAAATACCAGAGACCTTGTTTGGCATGGTTTTCCTAACTTACTAAAATCTCTTTATAGTCAACTTACAACAGCTCATTTAGTGACCATTCAAAGTTACAGTGGGACTGAACAATGTGACATGAGTGTTCTTCACGCTTATAATAGTTGTAGCATCTCCATCGTCATAGTCAAAATTCAGATGCTTGGCAATTGATTCATATTTATGATGGTTTCAGTGTCCGTCACTACAACTGTTAAGTGATCGCAATGAGTCCTTTGCACTTGGGAAAAGGCACATATCTTTTTTCTCCAATATGTTGGTGAGGCAGCACAGCAGAAGCAAAGAGCATATGTGAAGAATTTTGGAATTTCCCAGAAGAAATATTCTCAAAAGGTGTAATATAGTGGCAGGAAGGATCATAATGGATTTAGTTCATGCTAGCGAGAAGAAGATTGTTTTCTAATATTTGCTTCATTTTCAAATGTTTCATATAGAAGACAATCTTATCAAAATATTTATGCATATTTAAATGTTTTTTCTTGTGATTCAGATAGTTTAAAGAATGGTTGACAAACGTTTCAGTTCTTTATCTTTTCAGTAGGGATGTGGTTTGACAAGTTGATCTTTATCTGTTGAAGGAACACTTCTTCATATTAATGGCCTGCCCAGATGTTGACTGTCTTCCTGAGAGCATCCATTTCTTCCCACTGATCAGCAACTTCAGTAACAGATCACATAAGGTCCAGACCAGGGGTATCAAACTCGATTTCATTGAGGACTGCATCAGGGTTGTGTTTGACCTCAGATGAGCATGGCCAGGGTGGGTGTGGCCAACTCAGCATCACTCCTGTTGGGGGCACCTGTGATGGCCCAAGCACTCTGCCAGCGAAAATAGGTTCCCAAGTTCCGTTTTCAGCTCCTACGGCTTCCTGCAACCCTCTTGCCAGTGAAAACAGAGCTTCATTTTTGCTGGCAGAGGGTTGCAGGAGGCTGTGGCAGCTGAAAACAGAGCTCAGGAGCCAATTTTCACTGGCAGAAGTACTGTGGGCCAATCATTCGCTGTTTCCAGGGTGGCTCCACAGTCCAGTACCCCGCGGGCTGGAT